TCTCCGACTCAGCCTGTACTTATTTCTTTACCGTATTTCTTTGGAACTTCTCTCGACTACGACTGCGCCATGTTATACTTCACAATTAAGTAATTAAATACAGGATGGGATTTATCTTATAATACGATAACTGCATTTATTAAGCTTCTTTTTCTTTGCTCTCATACACTTGTCCATGCGCTCCCCTCTCCGTCTCTCTCGATATATATCGAGATATCTCGAGCCTTATGGTCAGTTCCCTAACAGACATGACACACAAATTATTGAATTCTGGTTATCAGAATGGACAGCTTCTGGAGCTTCAATTCCAATTGAAATAGTTACTGGTATGTCAATTACATTGCAAAACGCAATTACTCTATTATTCATGAAATTAACTTACAAACAGTATTTACTTACTTGTTACAATTTTTTAATTAATAAAAGTAATTATTTGTCTCAACCGTATCTTCGGATTGACATTGCACATTTGATGCATTGGGCCGCAAGACTCCCTTGTTTTACTCGAGTGAAACCTGCAATTAAAGATTTTTATTTAAGATGTATTGGATTTATGAGCATAATTGATAACTATGCAGTATTCGAGAAATCTATGAAGTGTCTATTCACAGTTTGTCAAAATGAAACAAATTGTCAAAATGAATTGCAATGGATGTTAGAAAAACTCAAAACATTTCAATTTGATGAGTCCATTGATTATAAAGAAATTCGAAAAATTGTTTTGACAGACATTGATAATATACAAGAAAATGTCAATTTTGATGTAAATAACAATGAGGATATAATTGTCGACCAAAAGATAAACAATGAATTATTAGAGTTTGTGGACAATATTGCAGATAAAACTAATTTTGTAAGAAATAACAGTAATTCTTTTAATTTTGATGACTCACATGTACTATTTACCAAATATTTTAAATGATCTGAAACGACTATTCAAACAATTTCCTGCATGGACAAATGTTACACAACATTTTTATAAGTCGAACAATTCTGTTGCAACTTCAGCAAAATCAGAAAATTATTTCAAATATGTAAAACAAAATATTTTAGAAGATTATCAACCAATAAGGGGTGACAAATTTATTATTAAACACATTAAATCAATTGACTGTCGAATGGTTGAAGCAAAAGCTGAAAATAATAAATTGCAATTAGAAATTAAAAATATTAATAATAAACAAAATATTAAGTGTAAAAATATAACAGAAAAACAAATTATTTTAAATAACATAGAAAATTGGAACAATAAAGCAGCAGAGGACAGTAACATCTATTTCATTAATATCGATGATAATTCTATAAACAATGAAAATATACAATCAAATGAATAAATATTTCATCCTGTTACCACATCAACGCCTGAATTTTTATATATTCAAATAAAATTTATGATTAAAGAAGAAATAATGAAAAAGAAAGAATTCATAAAAGAAAAAAAATTAGTAATAAAAGAGAAAGGTGAAATAATAAAAGAAAAAGATATAATTGCTAATAATAATAAGAGAGGAATGTATGTAACGCCATTTTCAGACATTCATTTATTACATACCAAACCTGAAGAAAGTAATAAAATAAAGAAAACAATTATCAAGAACGGCAATTTATTTCCAGCTAGATGTGTCGCTGGTAAAAAATTGCATGTAAATAACACTTGTACATTTGACTCTGTAACTGAACTATTGGCATCAGCTTGTAGAAATTCCGAAAATTTTTCAAATTATATTTCTCAAGAAAAAAAAATACTACTAATTGTTATTTTTCAATATTGTTAAATTACGCAAAATTTGGTTCATCAACATCATTCTATAAACAAAGAATATTATTGTATTTACTGTATCCAACTAATGAAAACCATATTGTATGTGAGGATAATGTAATAACACTCTTAAAAAAACTATTTATTAATTACAATTGTAATTCTGAAATTGTAATTTGTCAAAATAATAGCTGTCAAAAATCAGAAGAAACAAAATTCCCACTAATAGCTGTTAATGCAAAGACAGTCTGGAATAAAGGAATTCAATTTCTACAAGATAGTGTAACTAAGACGATTCAAGATAAAAACGTTTATTGTCAGCACTGCCATCATTCATCAGCAACAAGAAGATTTATCATTGACAAATACATTCTTCTCGATATTGAACATTTTTATGAAAAATCGATATGTGTCAAGAAGAATAACAATAAATTTCCCAAAACAACTTTATCTGACTTATCGACAATTTTAAGAATCAATGATAAACAGTATAATTTATGTGGTGCTGTAGAATTTATTCCATCTAAAATATCCAATGGACTTGGTCATTATGTAGCTTATACACGATCAATTTGCAACAAATGGAAGCGAATTGATGATCTGCGGAAAGAGGCAACATATTATGAAACTAAGACACCTGACGTACAAATTTCTATTTTCTTATATGTACAAAGTAAGTACAATAAAATGAAAAAATAATATGCTAATTGATAGCTTTTTACTTACCGATTATTTTATTATTCTTCCAGATTAGATCAACCAAGAAGTACTACTCCACCAGCTTTATTTTGAGAAATTAACTTGAGAAATATGAAGGAGAATTCTTTATCAAGAATATAAATATATTAAAATATCTATATTAAATTAATGGAATAATTGCTATACAGTCAAATATACCTGTGCTTGGCTTTTTGGATTCTTCATATCCTATCATATCAATTTTTATTCATTTTTCTTCAGTCATTAGCAAGATGAGATCTATTGGAAAACCATAAGTATACAAGCGCCACGCTACATCACCTTTTTTTTTTGGTTAAGGCGGGGGAAATCCTTTATGGATACCCACGAGTCTCGGGGAGAGCCCGCGGGTTATGTGGGAGTCCCTCAGGGAAGGTGTCCCTGGGTATACTCACTAAAACCCCTGCCGGTAGCCTTCCTAAACCCATAAGAGAGGGGGTGAGGCATCGCCAGCGGCATTCTTCTCATCCCCTCTCGGGTTTGGCCTTGTGTATGGCCTCATCCCATGGGGAGGGCCCAGCTTTTAAGCAAGGCCCCTTCCCCTAGTATTCCTATCTTACTGTCGGGCTACCACGGCCTCCCCCCGTCCTGGTGTGGTGAGTGGGGGGGGGACCGTCGGGAGCCTCCGCTCCCGACTAGCCCCCGCTGGGGGGAGGAGGGGATTCTCTCCTCCCTCCCCCAGACTATCGCTAGTGAGATGACAATCCCCAGGGACCTCTCAGGCTGTGATGGTGATGGTGGCGAGTTTGGTCACTACCGTCTGAGAAGCTCCTACCACTGTTAAGCCTTAAGGTGGGCTGGTAAACGGCGGCGGGGGATAATTCTCCTCCGCCGCAAGACGGCCGGGGGGTGCCCCCGTGGAAAAAATTAAGAGGAAAGCCCGTCGCAGGGCCATCACGCATTGGCAGGCGGCCATTGCGGACACTATGATGGGCCGATGGACCACCCATGCCATCCAGCCCTGTCTGCCGGAATGGGTGGACAGGAGGGGACGAGGACTCGGGTTCCACCTGACGCAGGCACTCACCGGGCATGGGTGCTTCGGTGACTACCTGTGCAGGATCGGCAAGGAGCACACGACGAAGTGCCACCACTGTGCGGCCGGTCGGGACTCGGCGCAGCACACCCTCACGGAGTGTGAGGCGTGGTCGGGGGTGCGCCGGGCCCTGACCGCAGTGGTTGGCGAGAACCTCTCCCTTCCGGCATTAGTCCGGACGATGCTGGAAGGGAAGGATAATTGGAAGGCCGTCTCCGATTTCTGCGACGTTGTAATGTTGCGGAAAGAAGAGGCGGAACGTGTTAAAAGAGAGGAGATGGAGGAGGTGGATGCTATCCCACTCCTCTCTCTTCCTCTCCCCTCTCAGAGGAGAACCTCAGGGACCTCTCAGGCTGTGATGGTGGTGGTGGCAAGTTTGTTCACCACCGTCTGAGAAGCCCCTACCACTGTTAAGCCCTAAGGTG